ACATAGGGTAGGACCTTTTTTTTTTTTTTTTTTTACTAATTTTACTTATTCTAAGGTTTACATTTAATCAGTTCATGCATTTCTTGGGAATTGAACCCATAACCTTTGTTCCAAGTACCATGGCGGTTGACACATGCGCTCTATAAAGCTTCATGTTTGTACAGCATCTGCTCTATTTTTCTCTAGAAGGTATGAGGGATAAAATGTCCTTGTACTCTTTTAAATTAAAGCTCTCTCATAAACACATGAGTGGTGCCCCCCCAAAAGGGATGTTTGTTTCGGTTAATTTTCCTGACAATCGTTAACCAATCATTAACCATTAACTGTTAACAAAATTATAATGTTAAATTCGATTTAAACTAACTTAGAATGGATAAGTGTGTATGACACATTAAAATATGCGTACAGTGCACTACACCCTCTACACCCAGTGGACTCTCGTGTACGCGTAAAAACCGAAGTATACTTTGGCCTTAAAAGTGAAGTGGTGTCACTGTCGGCTGGCTTACATCACTTCAGAATTCCTACTGTATGAGTTATTTTTTATTTTTAAAATGTTAAAAATGTATAGAAATTAATATCACACAAGCAAGACTTCCGTTTCCCATTTTCAGCATGTGCACGATATACAAAAGTTATATAACAGTTCCAAAAACAAGAAGTTATAGGGGTCATATGACGTTGCTAAAAAGAACATTATGTTGTGTATTTGGTGTAATGCAATGTGTTTAGGGATGTAACGGTATGAAAATTTCTTATCACGATTATAGTGACCAAAATGATCACGGTTATCAGTATTATCACGGTATTGTTCAAATGTGCTGGAAATGTTCAAAAAGGACTGACACACAAATAATTTTTTTTTCACAAATCACAAAATTTTACATTTAAAATCAACAAACAACAAATAAAATGACTTTTTGTTTGCATAACTAAAACAATAACATTGCCAATGATGTCCGGATTTTAAATGACAACATGACTGACAACAGTTTATCTAATAGCATGTTCAAATATCTAATGTAAATGTTCAAATAAAGCTTTGAAAAAGTTTAATAAATGGTAAACCTCACATTTCAGCTTTGAAATAAAGAAAAGGGTCAAGTCAAAATGATAATTGATTAATAAATGATTATATGTATTTATCTGCTCCATAAATAATACTAGATACCTTATTGTTTAAATGTGTAGAATCCACATAAGCTTGTTTTACATCAGCCGGTCAAAATTTTCAGCAGGGCATGCAAATTCGGTCCGTTTTTTGATCTACACACCTTTCACTTTATAAGACTAAAACAAAAGAGACGGCAGCTTGTCATTATAACAGTCTTTGTTAAACAGCTGCACTCTCCATTTATCCTTGAGGAATTCCTGGAATTGCTGAAGGGTCTTGCCATCAATAGTTTGACCTTTTTTTTTTTTTTTTTTTACTAATTTTACTTATTCTAAGGTTTACATTTAATCAGTTCATGCATTTCTTGGGAATTGAACCCATAACCTTTGTTCCAAGTACCATGGCGGTTGACACATGCGCTCTATAGTTTGTACAGCTTGTACAGCATCTGCTCTATTTTTCTCTAGAAGGTATGAGGGATAAAATGTCCTTGTACTTAAAGCTCTCAAAGCTCTCTCATAAACACATGAGTGGTGCCCCCCCAAAAGGGATGTTTGTTTCGGTTAATTTTCCTGACAATCGTTAACCAATCATTAACCATTAACTGTTAACAAAATTATAATGTTAAATTCGATTTAAACTAACTTAGAATGGATAAGTGTGTATGACACATTAAAATATGCATACAGTGCACTACACCCTCTACACCCAGTGGACTCTCGTGTACGCGTAAAAACCGAAGTATACTTTGGCCTTAAAAGTGAAGTGGTGTCACTGTCGGCTGGCTTACATCACTTCAGAATTCCTACTGTATGAGTTATTTTTTATTTTTAAAATGTTAAAAATGTATAGAAATTAATATCACACAAGCAAGACTTCCGTTTCCCATTTTCAGCATGTGCACGATATACAAAAGTTATATAACAGTTCCAAAAACAAGAAGTTATAGGGGTCATATGACGTTGCTAAAAAGAACATTATGTTGTGTATTTGGTGTAATGCAATGTGTTTAGGGATGTAACGGTATGAAAATTTCTTATCACGATTATAGTGACCAAAATGATCACGGTTATCAGTATTATCACGGTATTGTTCAAATGTGCTGGAAATGTTCAAAAAGGACTGACACACAAATAATTTTTTTTTCACAAATCACAAAATTTTACATTTAAAATCAACAAACAACAAATAAAATGACTTTTTACTGAAGGGTCGTTCCAAACCGAAGTGCTCAAAACTGGCAACTTCAAAGTGTCCTTCAGAATGAAGGGTTTTTGAAGGGTACAACTGATGGACACTTCAGGCCCCCATGATCCTTTGCACAGGGAAGTTGTTTGGCATCACAGAGTTCGACTTCACCTATAAATGTATGTATAGTATTTTTCGATACTACTGTAATATTTATACGAGTTAGATTTGGTACATTATTATGGTCAAAACGACATTGTACGTCAACAAAAATACTTTACAGCTACCTTTATCAGTCCATTCAAATGTTTCAAATACATTACAAATACTTATTACATTACATTACATATACAAATATACATTATATTTAACGTAAAAGATGATTGGGGGTCAACCAGCGTACAAAATGTGCGACGAAGGCACCTCCTGATCGTCTCGTTAACATGACGCAGAAGTGCATTCCAAAAAAATTTTGTTTTTTTTTACCCCTACACCCTTCATCCCTTTAAAGCTCTCTCATAGGCAAACCCTATGAAGGGTTTAGGGCATAGGGATGAAATAATACATAGGACTACATAATATTCACATATGCAGTTCATGGGGGACATATTGTATTAGCCCTGCAGTTACAGAATAAAATAGAGTACTATTTAAACCTATAACATTAACCTAATCACTTCTGATTTTTGTTCTCACAAATGCAAGTTTATATCTCCTAGTTCGGACTTTATAACTGAATTTAACTTAACAATTGTGAGTTTGTCAATTCTGAGGGAAAAAAGGCATAAGGGTGGGATTATAAACTCATGATTCAGAGCCGAGGGGAAAAGAGAGAATGAGTAGTTGATTTTTCTTATCAGAATTGTGAGATATAATCTCGGAATTGCGAGAAAAAAATTGTGTGATTGCAAACAAGCTATTGCCTGCTCCGCCTATAGGTAGCGCCGGCCCTGGTTAGTAGACATAGTTATGGTTCATAGTGGCACAATAGATTTATTGTGTGGTTCTACAAAGTATATGGCAAAATGTTCCTTTGAAAAGAGTGTAGAAATATATTTACAGATTTCCACAGGTCATCTCTAATCTTGTTGCAGTCTCCAGTCCCAGGAAGATCAAGAAGCACAATGTGTTCCAGGAGTTCACGACAGTCTGGTATCTTGATCGTCACACTTTTCACAAGCGGCCAGTACCAGTCACCAGAACTTGACTCACTGTGTTGTATGTAACTTGCAACATCGTTGGTAAATTCAGAAAGCTGTTGAGATAATAAATTGCTTTGTTTTACTTTGCTGAAAAGCAAATTAACAATGCATTATACATTTAATATCTTAAATATTAAACAGTCTCCCAAAACTTACATTACTGTTTGAGATTATTTTCTCACCGATAGACAAAAAGGTTTCAATCTCAGCAAATTTTTCATCATTCTTGAGCTCTTCTAATGTTTTCTGGTCTGCATCAACTCCATACAGCGCAGTGATCTTTTCTACAGCAATTTCAAACAAGTCCTCATTCCTGTCCTCACTATCAGCTTTTATAGTTCTGAAAAGATCTTTGAGCTCTTTCTCCCATTCCTGCAGAGGTACACAGCACACAGTATAGAGAAAAATAAGGCTTTGTTCCATTCCCTACAGTCTGATTAATTTACATATTTATAAAGAACTCTCATTAAAGGCATGGTAGGATAAATGAGGAAACCTCTTGAGAAAAGAGTTCGATCTCTGCTGTGTAGTTGGAGTCATTCAGATTGGCTTCCACCTGAGTAACAACAGCTGTACAGGCACCAAAACAACCAGACGGAAAGAGATCCTTTTTCCCCAAGATTGCACTTAAAAGAGAGCTCTTTCCTTCTCCTGATTTTCCAAAAATCCCTATGGTTGCCTTCTTCCTACGGCCTTTATCGATTTGATCTGAGGCTTTAGTGACTCTTTTCAGAATTTGTCTCGCATTCTCCATGATCATATCTGTGTACAACAAAGAAGAGAATTACACAGGCATGCTTCTGTGTTTGAGATACTGGGATATGATATATGACAAATGATTTGGAAAATGGGTGGATGTGATATTACCCTTTTAAGTTAGTGTGCGTGTCTAAATTCTGCCTTTTATAGGCAACTAATTGATTAGTTTCTAGTGCAGATTAGAGGTGGACAGAGTTAGATTTTACTTGCCTGTTGTCAGTGGTGGCTCTATATTCGAGTCAGATGATTCATCATCTCGTTTTCTTTTAGTACCTATCAGAGAATTCATTACCACTCATTATTTGTTCTTAATCACAGACAGTACAATGATCTTTCATTTTTATACCTTGGCTAACCATTGTAGGGTCAATGGAAAGTCCTGGAGGGGAAAGAACATATTAAAGATGATAATTTATTTTCTTACCAATCTTTTAAGAACTGTTTTTGTTCTGATTATAACAAAATTAATTGTCTCACCACCAGAGCAAGTTCTAGATTGTGATGGGACAGGAAGCAGTGGAGGTGTATTCTTCTTCATCCCATGAAATGCTTCCATCTCTTCTTTTGAGGCTCCAGAAATGGCTGATCTATAAAACAAATAATTAAAAAAAAAATAAAGCATGAATTAAACAATGTACAGTTTCACTAATTATGGTCCTCAAAAATATGTACAGAGCTACTGTCGCAAATCAGCAGATACTACATATGGTGTTTCCTTATGTAAATTTAGATGAGTAACAAGTCAAGTCAACTTTATTTCTGTAGCGCTTTATACAATACAGATTGTGTTAAAGCAGAATCAGTTATGTACACAGTTTGTCTCATAATGCTACTTATGAGACAAAGTGTTAAAATATATATTGAAAAACAACTGGGTGAGTCTCTTCAATAAGGGAACATTAGGGAACATTTCTCTGCTCCAGCTCATCACTTTTTCTCCTGAACAAAACACAAGAACTGCAAGTCACTTTGGAATGAATGTATTTCCTAACCTGCATCAAGGTTTGTTCAAAGCATATGCTATTATGTATATGGAAAAGGTAAGAATTTAGCAAAGATTTTAACCCATGTGCTCAGACTACTTCAGGGTTCTCTGTCCAAATATCTATGTCCTTTTTCATTAACCTCACCTTACATCAACATCCATTGATTCATCTTCCTCATCGATTTTAGACATATATTCAATCCCATCATCCCTTTCATCTACTTGAGAACAATTTTCTGCTGATTCTTCTTCGTTATTCAGAAATGTCTCCATGTCCCATTCATCACAGTCCTCATCCTTACAATCGTTTCCTAAGCAGTTTAATTGTAGCAGTTCACCATTTCCTCTGGATAATATCTCCATTTCGTATACTTCACTAGTACTGTTCTCCACAGTAGCTTTGACCATATCTAGGTCCTCAGGTTGAAAGCAAACTATCACACTTTGTTTGAAAATAAAAACCCCAAAGTTTTCTAAATGGTCAAATAACTGTGAGGCGTAGCTTTTCAGAGCAAGTGTAATGAGTCCTGGGGTCAAAGGGCAACCCTGATGCAGCACTTTGTATTTCTCAACTGAAAAATCTTCTTTTGCATCATTGAGGAGGTTTTCTATAATGAGAAGATCCTGGCTCAGAGTTGGGTTTAAACGTTTTTGCTGTTCCAGCTCATCTTTAATATGACTTAAACTTATTAAAGCATAATGTGTTTTGGGAGTGATCATGACAGTAGCTGAATCTTTTGGTATTCGCCCCTTTGGAAGAGACTCCATGACGTCTTCCAGACTTCTTGCCAGAATAGTTGCAATGATGAGGAAGTCCACGTTAAAGAAGTGTTGAATATTGTCATGTGGACTTTTCACAGTTTCATTAAAGTGTTTCTCAGAGCAGTTAAATGCACCGCTGTGGATTCTAAAATGATAATTGATTAATAAATGATTATATGTATTTATCTGCTCCATAAATAATACTAGATACCTTATTGTTTAAATGTGTAGAATCCACATAAGCTTGTTTTACATCAGCCGGTCAAAATTTTCAGCAGGGCATGCAAATTCGGTCCGTTTTTTGATCTACACACCTTTCACTTTATAAGACTAAAACAAAAGATGGATTGACTCTTATTTTAACATGAAATACTGCATTAAATGAAAAATAATATAAATATATATATATTATTTTCACGAATTCACGATCTTGGTTTCACATTTTACAATGCTTACATGTATACACCCTTTGCTTAATACAAATGCTTGAAAGATGGATTCATTGTTATTCTTAATTAAAAAGCACAATAATAAAACCGTAAGCTACAATGACAAACTAGCTTACAAAACGTTTATTAACAAAAATGAATAAGATGAGACATGGCATACACCACATGCTGTATTATATACACACTAATAAATTACAGAACTTTTAGCAAACACTGAGCAATCAAATAAAAAAATAAAAGAGAGCCTCCATAGCATAACGTGAGGTAAACAGCAAAGATAACAAGCTTTTCAAAATGAAAACAAAACAAAAGTAAAACTAAACTTGCTGTCGGTGACGGTGCTTGCATGTTTTTTTCCCTCCACAAGAATACCAACAATTTTACCAACTTTTACTTTACTTTAGCATGAAACCCATCCATCGTTTCCTCAATATTCGTGTCATTTTTGCTGCACGCACCTTCGCGTTCGTGCTGATAAGGCGAGTATAAACCAGGCTCTACACTCTAAGCGCTGCGCAGTTCAAACAAGTAGCGCGGTTTCGTTATGCTTTCAGTTTCGTTTGCCATTTGATGTTTCTCATATGCAACAGAAATGCAGCGCTTATGAGTTAAACAATGCGGTGGTCGTGCCAGTGCGACCGCACACAAAATTTAGTCGCACGGGCAGAAAAAATTATCGCAAATTGCGCCCATTTGGTCGCACTCTGGAGCCCTGTGCAGTACAGTATTTATTTATCCTCAGTTGTTCAAATCGCGGTTCGTTTGCCGTTTGATGTTTCTCACATGCAACAGAAATGCAGCGCTTACGAGTTAAACAATGCGGTGAGTCGCACCGGTAGAAAAAATGATCACAAAATGCGCCCATTTGGTTGCACACTGGAGCTGTCACGAATCCGGTCCATGAACTTCCGTCTGCTAGCCATCAGAGGTCACCCTTTCCATTTTCATTGACTCT